ATAAATTAGTATATAAAAGTATTAATGGATGCAGAACAAGTATTGAATTAAAAAATAAATAGTTCTAAAATATTTCTTGAAAACTATCATAAATAAAAAAAAGAGACATAATAAAAGCTTTAATAAATTAAATTAACTGAATCTTATAATTAATATGGGATTATTAAAGATTCTAAATTAACATATAATATTATCGATATTGATTTATTTTAAAAAAACCCTTCTAATAAAACATATATTGTTATTTAATGTGGAAATATTTAATAAAAAACTCCTCTTTATTAAAATTTTTAATATAAATATTAAAACTAATTGTAAAAAAAATAAAAACTTATTTAAATGATTTTATTTTATTTTTTTTAAAAAAAAGAATTATTGAAGATGGTATGGAAAGTATTATTATTAGTGTTTTTGAAGCATCAAATGAATAAAAACCTGTTGGTTCAGCATTTATAGATGTTTAAAGCTTAAAAGACCAATATAAACATGAAGAGTGTCTATAATTATTTGACGAGAATAATCAAAATACAGGATCTATTAATATAACACTTAATTGGATTCATTCGAAAGTTAAATATTTAGAAAATGTAATTGCTAAATGGTCTGAACATATTCTTTTTTAAGAATAAGATATGATGGATTATTAAAAAGATTTATAAACATTATTTGAGCCTTTTCCTTTATTATATTAATTTAAGAATGAATATGCAAATAATGGTAAACCTAATTTAAATAATATAAGTAATGATCCAAGTTTTATTGAGAATGTTCAAAAAATAAATATTAATTAGAATATTATTTTAAGTATTTAAAATTTTATATGTACATATTTTTTTTTTAAATTAAAAATTATAATTATAGATGATTATTAACAATAATAAAACCATCCTACTTAAAATTTAAATATTAATAATGAATATTTAAAATATTATAATTATACTGTTTTAGGGAATTTTATTTATTTAGGATTAGCTGTATTTATTTCTTTTGCTAGAACAATTTATATAGATGTATTTAAAAAAAAAAAAAAAAAATGTATTTTATATATTCAATAAAAAGATATTAATTACATTTGCTTATTTTATAATTTTTAAAGAAAACAAATTAAATAATTAGTATTTGAAATATTTTGTTATTGCAATATTAATATCTTTTACAATTGGAGATTTAGGATGGATTATTAATTATTTTAAAGTTTTTATTTTATTAGTATATATATATTTTATTTTATTTCGATTTTTAGTTATGGATAATGAGTTATGATTCTTCTAATCCTTTTTGTACTCCTGATATTACTTTGAAAAGATTTGTGAGTATTTTTACTATAATTCTATTTATTTTTAAAGTAAAAATTATTAATTTCTTGTATTTTTATTGTTTTAATTTATATAGATATTTTAAATGTCTCTCCTTATATATGTAAGTAATTTACTTTAAAAATCTTAATAATAAATAACAAATAATTAAAATGATCCTTATGTTCAATCTCCTATTATTTAATAATAAGCAGATATTTTTTAAAATAATCCTAATTAAAATTATAGTCATTTAGTTACTAATAATAATAATCAAACAACAAGTCAATTAAATAACATAAGCCATTAAAATTATTTAAATAACTAAAATACTTATTATCCTGATGCACTAACAATAACAAGTATTATTATATTTTTTTTTAATTTAATATTAATTTTTTATTAATATTTAAAAAGGAAACTATTGAAAATAGAAAAAAACTATAATAATAAGTTTACTCTAAGAAATAAAAAAAAAATAAAAAAAATTTTTGTCTATTAAAAATAAAATTTATATATTAGTTGTATTTTATTAATAAAGTTATAATTTTAAAAAAACAAAAGCATATTTTAGAATAAAAAAAAAGTTAAATATTTTACTTGTAAGTAAAAATGAGAAAATAATTAACTTACATATATATACGCATATATTTTAGTAAATATGTACTTCTTCCCCAAAAAAATAATTAAAGAAATACATAAAGTTTCCAAAAAGCTTAAACTTAAAGATATTTATTTAAGTCCATAAATGTAAAATTAACAATCTTTATTTTTTTAAATTGATAAGTCTGAAAGTTTTAAGAATTTGTGAATGATTTAAATCTAAATTAATTAATTATAAATATATTAAGAAATTCAAAAAAAAAAATTATAATTATATAGTAATAAATATGAATAAATAATATAAAAATAATAATATTGGAAATGAAAAACATAAAAAAATTAACTGAAAAAAGTAAATATTTAAATTAATAATTAAAAGAAATAAAAATCAAAAAATGATGTATAATTCCAAAATAAAGCATAGAATAGTAAATTAAAAGTTTAATATTTGAAAGATTAATTACTTTAGTAAATAAACATTTTTAATTAAAAAATTAACCATATGTAAAAAGGTTTGTCTTTAAATAGCATTTAATAAGTTATTTTAGAAAATCAACAATTAAATATATATTCGTCAGAGAACATTAAAAATATAAATAACTCTAAAATGTAAATAATTTACTAAATAAAAGTTTTAAAATTAAAATAATTGTTAAGATAGGATTATATTAAATAAATGCAAAGAAATTTTCAAATTAAAATTTTCAAATAATTTGATTAAAATTTAATAATTTGAAAATTCCTAAGGATAAAAATTAATATAATAATAATAAAATATCTTCAAGCAAATAAATTAAGAACTTTTTAAAGAAAATGAAAAAATACATTAAATAAATACAGTAATTTTATTAAAAAAAAAAAAAAAATTTTTAAAAAAAGAAGTAATAAAATAAGTAATATTAATATTATTGAAAATAAGAATAGAAACTAATATTTAAATAATGGCTTATAATTGAATAATAATCATGAAAATTATTAATTTAATAGTTAAAATAAATAAGGAAGTAATAATATTTTATAATTTTATAAATAAAATAAAATTATGTTATATAAATAAATTATATTATATATTATATTATATTATATATTATATTATATTATATTATCTTTAATCTTTTTTTTTTTTTTTTACTAACAAAAAAAACAAACATTTATTTCATATAATTTTAATAGATTGTTTTTTGTATTTATTAAAAAAAAAAAATAGAAATAATTTAATTTTTATATTTTATAGTTTTTTTTATTTTATTCATCTTATTTTCAAGATACTTTCATGATTACTTAGTTTTCTTTTTTTTTATAAGTCTTATGAACTTGTTTTGCTACTCTATTTACTTTATTTAATATTGGATTATTTATCTAATTCATCGAAAAAATTAAGCTTTTTAGAAATTTGTTAAATTCCACTTTAATCAAAATCTCTTATTATAATTTTTTTTCTTTTTTCGGAGGCTAAAGCCATTATTATTAAATTTATTCTAAATAATCTAATTATCTAGAAGGTGGAGTTACATAATTTGTCGAAAATTCATAATTTATATATTAATCAGTGTTTAAATTATGGATAATTTATTATTGGGATTATGTTGGAATGTGTTATTAATTATCCATTTTTATTATATTATTTGTTTATTTTATTTTTTAATCAATTTTGTATATAAAAAAGAAAACAATAAAGTTATTATTTATTTTTTATTTAGCCTAATAAAAATTAATAAATATTATGTTATTTAACGAATATATGTTTTTTTTATTATTGAAAAATAAATTTAATTCTATTCAGTTATGAAAAATTAATATATTTTTTTTATTAAATTAATATTAATATTTGGTATAAATATTTTTTTTCATATATAAAATCTTACTTAATATTTTTTTTTTATTTTCTTTATTTTTTTTCATAATAAGAATATTTTATTTATAATTATTTTTAACATTTTAGTGTATTTTTTATAAAAATAATTTTAATTATTTATTTTTATATGTGTAAATTGTTATTTTTTTATTAAATTATATTTATTTAAGCATTAATATGATAAATAAAAAAGATTTTGATTTCAATTTGTATTTTTAAAAATGATAATAGATTTATATATTAAAAAAAAAATTATTAGTAAAAACAAATATTAATTATATATATTTACATCCTTTTATAAAATAAAAATATCAAAAAAACAAATAAAAATCTAAAATAAATTTAACTAAACAAAAAGTAATAAAAAAATGAATAACAAATAGAATAAAAATAATAAATCAAATGCGTAAAATTTTAAAGTAAAAATAAAATAATTCTAATAATTTCTATCATTTTTTTAAAAAAGAAGAAAATAATTACATTAAAAAAAAAAAAAAAAAAAGATAATTTCAAAATATCCAGATTTATCAACAAAACAATTTGTTGAATTTATGGTAAACATAAATACCTCAGCCGAAATAAAAAAGCCCTATTATTCACTATCATCATTTTGTATAAACAAATAGAATTAAAATTTAAATATATTATATATTGCACTACGTACTCGATTTACAATTGGGATAATAGAAATAAAAGACGATACAGCGAAGCTTTTGTATTAGTTATAAACATAATAAAATAAAAAGACTGAAAAAGACATATATCTATACCATTCATTTGTATATAAAGAAATTACATAAAAATCAGATGCGTTATTATATTATGGTTATTATTATGGTATGTTACATATAATAAATTGTTTAAATTCTCAAATAAAATATGAATTTAATTAACATTATAATAAAAAATAAGGAAACGCTTGGCATGAAAAATAAATAATAAAATGCTGTACAATATAGAATTCAAATAATTTTCTTGTTTTATTTATTGATTGTACTGTAATGGAATTTTCATTGAATAATTTACCACATAATAGTAATTTTTAATAAAGTGTAGATCATTTTAAACCTCAAATTATAATGTAAGCAGTCAACTAATATTAAAATTTTAGCCAATATGAATATTTCGATTTATATATAAGTAAACATAAATTATGTACTGGATATGGCTTTTTTTCAAAGAATAACCTTAATTAATTCTGCGGCCCGCATAAATTTTTATAATTCAGAAGTGCTTCAATTAGCGATATGGTTTAAGTCCCTCATAATCACTATTTATATAAATATTTGGAAAATAAAAAACTGAAAGAATAACCTTTATTGATCGCTTTTGGATCTTTAGATGGTTATTTCAGAATTTTTGATATAAATAATATGTGCCCTGTATATATTTTTAAAGGATATTATGGAGGATTAAATGCTATTTCTTTCGAAAATTAAAACGATGAAAAATTTGAAAAAAATCCTCTTGTTTTATTTTCAATGTAAGACGATTCCTACATTTTATTAAATACTCATACCAATAAATATATAAGAGGAATAGGACATTTTAGTTTTGTGTCTAGAGCTGTTTTCTCTAATCCTAATAAGGATGTGATTAGAGTTGTTACAGGTAGTTATGATGGATGTATTTCTATTAATGATTTTTTAAGAAGTGATATTATTTAGGATAGCTAAAGTGATTTTTATTAAGAAGATCTACCTGTGATTGTAAAATAAAACTAATAAAATGATATTACTGTCAATATATAAAATGTTCAATAAGTCAATAATGAAGGGGTCGGATATTTAGATGGGGTTGGTGATTATTTTATTACTAGTTCGTTTGATGGTTGTGCAACTCTTTATAAATTTAAAGAAAAATTCGAAGAAGAGGAAAATAATAATGAAACTTTAAATTACGACACCTAGAGCAAATAAAGTTATTAATAACAAAATAATGAAAGATTTAAAACTTTAGAAAAATGATTTAATAATTTATTTATTTTTTGTTGAAAAAATAAAATAAAATATAAATATATTTATATATGTGTATTTTTTTTTTTTTTTTTTTTTCATTTATCTATTCTTGTTATTTTTTATTTTTTTAATGATTGGAAATATTTTATTTAATTTATAGAATTAGTAATATATTACTTATTATTTATAAAATGTCATATCTAAAAATATAATTAAAATCATTATTTAACTTATTTTATAAATACTTGTTTTTAAATAATTTTTTTAAAAAAAAGTAAAATTTAGAAAACTTTATATTTTTTAAAAAAGATAAAAAGTCAAATATTCCCGCCTGCTCAAGAAAATTAAAAATTTTGGTTATATTAGATATAAAAATATTTATTTATTTTCTAATAATACATACTTAAATTATTTTATTTATTAAATTAAAAATTAAAAATATTCAATATTCCCTCTATAAATCTTAATTTTTTGTTTAAAAAATATTTTCTTTTTTTTTTAATATTATTTATAAACATATAACATTTATTTTTTTTTTTTTTTATAAAAAAAACAAAAAAATATATAATATTTAAATATAAAAATAATAGAAATGAGTTAAATCAAATTAATTGATATTTAAAGTCTTTTATTTGATATTTTATCAAATTTTTAAACAAAAGAAGATTAATATGATATTAATAATTTTTATATGAAAGTAGATGATGATTTATGCTTAGTTGATTAAAATGATTTTTTATATGAAATTTAAACTTTAAATCAATAGTTTTTTAATATTAACAAAGGTAAATATTGATATAAAAACATATATGTTTAGCATTTTTTTTAACAAAAAAATAAATTAAAAGGAAAATATATTTATATTTAGAAAGGAATAATTATTCCATAATTCGAATCAAATACTCATATTTTAGCTTTAATATTGAGAGCAAAAAATATTGTATTGGCAGATTAAAAAGACATATCATAATCTTCAGATATTGAAGCAGAATTTATTGTTTACAATTAAAAAACACATAAATAAAATAATGATTTAGATAAGCTAAGTTTTGATATTAAAAAAAATTAATTGAAGTAAATTTTATTTTATTTCTCAATAATAATAAAAAAAAATTATAAAAATAAGAAATAAATAAGAGAAAATTAAAGTTAAATAAATGATTTTTGGAAGATATTATGTTAAGATTATGTTGAAAAATAAAAATAAATCTTAAAAGTGTAAAAAAATGAATAAATTTAAAAAGTAAACAAAAAAAATGTTTAACTTATTAATATAATCAAAGAGTGAATAAAAAAAAATATAGTCTCCTTAAAAAACTGATTAAAGCATGATATAAGAAGATTTTGTTCCTTGTGCTGTATCCGAAGTTAAATAATTACAAGATAAAAATAACTTAGATTATTAAGAAAATATGAATAAAAAACCTATTAACCTTTAACCCGGAAAAAGACTCGTTTTTAATTAAGATAATAATGAAAATATGGAAATTGAATAATAAGAAGAAATAAGAAATAAACTTGAACGATTATATCAAACATCCACTAAAAGTAATAATTTTATAAACAAAAATTTAATTTTTTAAAAAATAAAAAATAATAGAGGATTTACTAAATTTTATAAACGAATGGTAAATTTAAAATGGATAAAACTGGCCAAAATTAAGGAATATTATTATGCCAAAAAGTAGTGAAAATTAGAATTTAAAAAAAGTATATAGTAGAGATGTTGTTAATACTGTTTTAAATAAATACAAATGAAAGTTTAAATTTATTGTTTTAAATAATATTATTTATAAAATTATTTATGGTTGGTATTTTTTTATTTTAAATTTTTAAAATATTAAATATATTTATTTATTTTTCTGTTTTTATTTTAATTCTTTTTTATTGCGTTTTTTGCATAAATATGATTATTTTTAAATTTTAATTTCTTCTTTAAAAATAAACTATATTGACTATAAATAAATTAATAATTCAATATTTACAATATTTACAATATTTAAATTTAAAATAATACTCAAATGTAATTCAAAATATAAAAATAATGGATTCTTTGATTAATATAGTCATAAGTTTAGAAATCGATTCATAAGTATAGATAAAAGAATAAATATATATAAATAATATATGTAATATATGTTTTATATAATTGAAAACATCTATTTAATATTTTATTGTTATAAGTTAATAAAATGCATTATTAGTTAATTTAAATACTTTTTATTTATATGTCTTTAATTTTTAAAATAATTATATAATGTCATTTTAGTGTTTTTTAAAATTAATTAATTCGATAAAATCGAAAAATAGGATATATAAGATTTTAATAAAATATATATAAAAAAAGAAAACTATACTTAATTTAATAAAATTTAAAAATAAATAACAAAAAAATTATTTATAATTTATAAAAATATTATTTATAATAATTTTAATTATAATATAATAATAGATTATTTAAATTCTAAACATTTTTAATTTATTAAAAAAAAAATTATTGTATTTTAATTTAATCTTTATTTCTCTATTAAAAATATATTAATTATTTTTTATTTTTTAAATTTTAATCTAAAAATTCAATCGAAAAAAAATATATTAATCAATTTTTAATTGCTTATTTTTATTTGTTGATTGTATTATTTTTTAAAAAATATAAAATTTATTAATATATTATAAGTATAATACATTTTAATAATGAAATTAGTATAAATTTACATTTAAAGTTTCATCAATTTTTTAATTGTATATATAAACTAAAAAATAATATTAACTATGTTTTTAAATATATTATCTTTGTAAAAAAAATTAAAATGAAAATGAAAAAAAAATATTATTAAAATATAAAAATTATTTCTATATTAATATTTATTATGTTATTTATATCAATACATTATATAATAATTTTAATTATAATTATATATTTATTATTCATATTTATAATATTATAATTTTTTTGTTTAAGATATTCTATAAATATATTATTTTAAATTTAAATTAAATCTATATTAATTTTAATATTTTATTTATTTTATATAATAGTATATTATTTTAAAATATATTGCTTTTAATAAATAATTAAAATAAAATTAAATATAGTCTTTTATTTCTAAATAAAATAAATCCACAAATATTTTATTTTTAATTATATAGATTTAAATATAATATATCATTCATATTTTATTTTTTATGTAATTTATTTATATTATATTAAATTTAATTAAATAGAATTTAGCTATATGGAAATGACAATATTAATTTAATATTATATCTATAAATAATTAATATAAAAAAAAACTTTCGATATTAATAAAAATAATAAAGAATATAATAAATTATGTCAAATATTGAAAAGAAATAAAATTATCTTTACGAATAAATAGTTTAAGAAGGTTACGATGCTGAATAGTTTATGCATTTTATGGCTACATTAAATACATAAAAAGGCACAAATGTAGAAAATTGGACAATGATGGAATTAATTAATGTAAATCAATATAATCATAAAAATAAATAAAAACCAAAAAAAATAAATATATTAGATAGTTCAAAAATTCAAAGATAATTAACAATTATAAAAAAATTTTTAATAAACTAATCTAAAAACTGAAGAAATATAAAATATAGACTACAATAAATATAATGAAAATTTTTATGACTAGCAATTATAGCAAAATTTATAATAATAAAGAAATATGACTATGGTAAATAATAATGCTGACAAATATAATAATAAATAAAATATATAGCAATAGTAATAAAAACCTTTTTAAAGCCAAAATAATAATTAAATGCAATAATAACAAAATAATATATTTTAAACATAAAAGTAAATAGAATAAAAATAAATTGATATTATGAATAATAATCTATATGAATAAGATTTCGGATAATAAGAAAATATGTTAAAATAATAATAAAGAAATTCATAACAGGCAACTTAATTTAGATCTTAATAACAACAACAAAATAGCCATTAATTTTAAATAAATTTTTAATAAGAATAAACATAAAATATATATTATTAATAAAAAATAACATAAATTGATGATTAAAAAGTAAATACTAAATAAATATAAAACAAAGCACCAACTAATATATAAGGTATTTAAGATTTTTAAAAAGATGAAAATAATAATAATATATAATAAAATAGAAAACTACCTACTGAAATAGATAAAAAGCCTTAATAAAATGATTAGCCTTAAGTATTAAGGAAAAAGAGTATATAATTAGCCATGAAACCATTAATAGAAGACGCTTGTTAATTAAATTAATATCAATATAAAAAAGATTGTATATAAAGTAATCTTACTACTTTAGGAATTAAGACAAATTTTAGAGTAAAAATTGAAAGTTATGAAATATAATAAGGGTCTTTATTTTCAGGAGGCGGATTCGCAATTTATCAAATAAATACTATACCTTTAGATTGGAGTGTAAAAAGAAATGCTAATGACTTTTTATGGTTAAGAAAAATTTTGGTTAAAATGTACCCTGGTGTTTATATTCCACCTTTGCCCCATAAATAGATAAAAAATATTGATTTAAAATTTGTTGAAAGAAGAAAAGTATAATTTGAATTATTTCTTAAAGATATTATTAACTAATAAGAATTTAAATTTTCTAAATATTTAAACGATTTTTTGTCTATTGTTGACGAATAATAATTTAAATAAATATAGGCGGAATCTGAAAAACATAAAGGGCCTTAAAAATTATAAGATATGGTTAATAGTTAAGGATGTGTAAATATTAATTTTTTGTTTTGTTTTGTTTTGTATTATTTTATATTTTTTTTTTTTTAGTATATTATTAATAATAATCCTTTAGTATCTAAATAAGTTTAAATATATGAAAACTTTTGCAATTAAGTTGATTTAAATTATGATAAATTATAAAATTTAAATAAAAATCTTATTTCTACTTTTAAATAAGCTTCTAATATTTTATTTTAAGTAAGTGATATTTATAGTTAAATTAATAAAATTGTATATGATTATAATTAATAGGCTAATGATGATAATAAAGTAAAAAGTTTTTTTTTTTAATATTTTTAATTTTTTTCAGATAAAAGAATTAGAAAATACATATAAAATATTAAATAATTTTTCTACTATTGAAGCAAATTGTATTAATGATTAATTGAAGTTATTAGTCCATAATTATTATGATTATTTTAAATATTATAGATAAAGCCTTGATGGCGTAAAAGAAATTCTAAAAACGAGAAATGAACTTAATAGCTTTCTTAATAAAAAAGGAGGTATTTTAATGTTTTTTGTTTTAATTATTTTTCTTATTTATATAATTTAGAATCTAAAGATAGTTCTTTTGGAGGATTATTCAGATAAAATTCGAAAGGCATTAATAATCCTTCGAAAGTATTTTTTAAATATTTAAATTAAATTAATAAAAAGTTTATAATTTTTTTAAAAATAAAATAAAAAAAATCAAAGAATTAAAATCTTTTAGTTGAATAAGTAGGATATTATAATTAATAAAGTATTGATAGTTTTAAACATGTTTTAAAAAATAAAGCATAATCTTATTCAAAACATTTTGTAATATATTTCAGTAATAGGGAAAAAATACTTTAATAAGTATTTAGAAATATAATATATAATTTTTTAATTATATATATAACAATTAGACTTTAGATGAATTGTAGATTTAAAGATAGCATTTATAATAAGTTGAATTTAATCATAATGATTTAAATATTGAATTGATAAAAAAGAGAACAGAATGAAATATTAAAAATAAACAAAAAGATATGAATAAAAAAATAGAAAATTTAAAATTATGTAAAATTATTTAAAAAGAAAACAAAATGTATATATTTTTTGAAAAATAATAAATTATAAAAAAATAAAAATTGTTTTGAATAATAAATAAAAAATTATATTAATAATAATTATTACTATTATACTCTTATATTATTAAATATTTTTATTTGTAATTATTTTATATTTAATTTAAATATATTAATTAATAGAAATATAAATATAAGTGAAATAAAAAAGAAATCATACATATAGATATACATACATATATCTTATATATATATATAATAATATATATATTATATAAATTATATATATATTTATATATTTTTTTTTATTTTTTATTTATATTTATATTTTTTTTATATATTCATTTAAATAAATTTTAAATTTTAATAATAAAGATTTCTGTATTTTTATAAGGTTTTTTATTAAACATTTATATATTTTTTTATAATTTCTATTTTAAAAAAAATTAATTTATACTTTTTAATTTTTATTATAATAATTAAATAAAAACATATATTTTTTTTTTTTTTTAATATTATTTTAATGAATTTTTTAATTTAAAACAAAATTATTAATTCTTTATATATCATTATATACTTTTAATTAATAATGAAAATTTTCAATTAATATTATTTAATATATAATAATTTTATATATATCAAAAAAATTATTTCTTTTACATTTATTTGAATCTATATGATATCTATTTATTTTTTTATCAGTTAAGGTAATATTTTATTACTTTAAGAGATAAATAATTTTTTTTTTTAATAATCTTAGATAGTTTGGTCTTTTTGGAAATCCAATATCATATTTTATTTTTTCATTGAATTTATTAAAATTTAGGATATTAAAATTCTTTAAAAAAAAAGAAGAAAACGAGCCAGATATATTATTTTATTTTACATTTTCTATTCTTTTAAAGGAATATTTATGTTTAGTGACATTTTTCTATTTTTCAATAAAAAATAAAGATTGCTTTTATATTTTTATCTATTAAAATTTTTTTTCCATTTTCTTATTATAAATTAATTTCTTTAAATTATTTTTATTTTTAAATCATTTTTATAATGTCTGTTTTTGTTTATTTTTTTATATTTTTTAGTCTAAATAGTCGAATTTCTTTGTGTTTTTTACTATTTTTTTTTTTCTAAATTAGTTGATAAATATTCTTATTTTACTAAATTATATAAATGTATTTTATGTCATTTTAGGTAATCTTTATCGCCGAAAATTTCCTCTTTTATTTATTTTCATTAATGGAAGGGTTATATTTTTAAAATATAATCAAATTTATATATTAAGGTATAGTTTTTGCCTTATATTTAATTTTTTACTTAGGGATTTTATTTTTAAAATAAATGGTCTAGTATTTCCTTTTTTTTTATTTTAATTTAATAATTTTTTACTTCCTATTTATTCTTGATTTGATTTATTTATTAATAATACTACAGTATTTATTCTTTATATTGATTTTGCATATTTTTTTTTTTATGAATTATATAATAATTCAGAAAATGAATTTTAATCATCATCTAAATTATATTTTTAATTTTATATATTATACTGGAATTAGAATTCTTTTTATTAATTTGGTTAATATGTTTACTAATCTATTATATTATATATTTAATCTTTTAATAATTTAATAGTTAGGTTAAAATAACTTCATATTTTTTATTAATACTTTGGTTTATTTCATTTGATTTTTTTTAAGAGATTTTTTGTTAGGTTTACATATTGTTAATTTATATTTTTTTTAAAAAAAAAACAAGTATTTTTTATTAAAAAAAAAAAAAAAAATAAGAGGAAAAAATTTATTTGGGGGGGGGGGGGGGGATGTTTTTTTTATTTTGAAATAAAAATAAAAAATTTATATAGAAAAAATAAGAAAATATATTTCATTTTTTAAAATATTAAATATATTCTAAAGGATTTTAATAAACATTAACATCAATAAACTAAAACTTTTAATTAACTAATTAAATATTAGAATCCACAAAAACTTAAAAATACTTAACTAGACATTAATAATTATCTTTACTTATATTTTCATTTAAAAGAATTTCTTAATCAATATTCTCATTTTGTATAATTTAAATTTTTATTTTTCCTCTTTATTAAATAATTCTACCCTCACCTATAATAACTTTTTTTTAATTCCCTTCATAAAAATTAAACGAGTAAATCGTTTTTTTCAAAACTTATATTTGTTTAGACATCAATTATATTTTTTTTACTTTCTATTAATCATAATACTATAATTAATTATCAAAAATACTAAGATTAAGAAACATTTATTTACTTTCATTGATTAAATTTTCCTTATTATTCTGATTTTTACCTTCATATTTAATTTATAAATACCCATATTTGTTCGAAAGGAAAAGTATTTCTTCTTATTCTTCTTTATATATTACTTAAATTGTATCATTGAATTTTTTCTCTTCAAAGAGCTCAATTATTCCTTTAGAAAATTTCGAAAAATCAACTTTTAATTCTTCGTTTTCAAAAAGTAGACATTTTTTTAATTTTTCGTAATTATTTTCCACTAAGTTTCTATATTTAAGATCATCCGTAGAATACATTCTACATTTATCTTATTATCCTTATATAGGAATGCATTTTATATATACAATTTTTTTTTTATGTCCTAGGAATATCTTATATGCAGTTTTAGGATTTGGTTTGTATATAAAGGACCTTTTATAATATTAAAATTAGTGTTTTTTTTAAATTTTTTGAATGGCTTTTTCATGCTCTTCTGAATAAACTTTCGCTATATAAGTTTTTTCATCTTTTTTTAAAAGAAAAACTTTTATTTTATTCTGTTTTATATTTTCTTTTAATTCTTCAAATGTAGAATTTAAAGGAATTTTTTATGCAAATAAAGCTATTTACGAATTTTTCGGTGATTAAGTTTTTATAAAAGGAGCAAATTTTAGTATTTATACTTAGCTTTTTTAATCTATTTTAGAATATATTTTTATAGCAAAATCTTTATTTTATTGATTTTCTACCAAATATTAATTCATTATTGGGATTCTTTTGAATATATATTATTCATTATTGTATTTGAGGTTTTAATCTAATATATAGGTGTCTTAATCTTTTTTTTATAGGGTTTTATCAAATAGTTCTTTTAAGTCTTTATTTATGAAAGTTATTTGTTGATTTAGTTTTATTTATTTGTTTTCTTTTTTTAAATTTAATTTATTTTTATTTAATTCTATTTCTATTATCTCTTCATCTTCATCCTTAATTTTTTTTTTTTTTTTTTTTTTTTTTTTTTTTTTTACAATTAATTAGAATTTGTATTATTAAGTTTTTTCTATTTCATCTTCTATTAAATCAAAATCTTCATTTTTTTAAGGACTTTATTTAATTTCTTAGTCTGATTTTTCGAAATCATCTTCATTATAGTATTCGTTTTCTTCTTCGGATTCAATTTTTTCAACTTCTTTTTTTTCTAATTATTTATCATTAAGTTGTTTTTATTCAACTTCTTTTTAATTTTATTATTAGTTTATTTAAATTTCATTTGGACTTTATTCTAAATTTTATAAAATTGCATTTGTATATATTTAATTTAATGATTAAGATACTAGTTAATCAATTAATTAATTAGAATTTTTTTCTTCTTATTCTTATTTTTCATTGTGTTTTTCGTCTTTTTCTTTTTCTTCTTTTTATTTTATTTATTCTTCATATTCTTCTTCTTTTCTTTATCCTTCTTCCTGTCGTTCATCTTCTTCTTTTTGTTTTTTTTATTCTTCTCTTTATTCTAGTTCTCGTTGTTCTATTTGCTTTTTTTATTCTTGTTCTTCTTCTTTTTGGTTTCTTTATTCTTCTTCTTCTCTTCTCGTTCTCGTTCTCGTTCTCGTTCTTCTTTTTGTTTTTTTAATTCTTCTCCTTATTCTTGTTCTTGTTCTTGTTCTTGTTCTTCTTTTTATTTTTATTTTTATTTTTCTTCTTTTTTTTTATGTTCTTCTTCTTCTTATCTTTTTTATTCTTCAATCTGCTTTTTTTAATTTTCTTATTCTAATTTTTTTTATTCTTCTTCCTTTTTTTTATTATCTTCTTCTTCTTTTTTTTTTTTTTCTAATTCTTCATTTTCTTACTTTTTTTTCTTTTCTTATTCTATTTTTTTTTCTTTTTCTTGTTCATTTTTTGTTCTTTATTCTTCCTCTTCCTATTATTATTATTATTTTCTTTATATTTTGTCTTCTTCTTCTTTTTGTCTCTTTTCTTCTTCTTCTTTTTGTCTCATTTTTTCTTCTTATTTTAGTCTCATTTCTTCTTCTTCTTTCCTCCTTTCTTGTTCTTTTCTCTTTTCTTCTTCTTCTTTTTGTCTCATTTCTTCTTCTTCTTCTTCTTTTCTCTTTTCTTCTTCTTCTTTTCTCTTTTCTTCTTCTTTTTGCCTCTATTCTTCTTCTTTTTACCTCTTTTCTTCTTCTTTTTACCTCTTTTCTTCTTCTTTTTGTTTCTTTTCTTCTTCGGCTCTTTCTGCTTCTTCTTTTTGTCTCTTTTTTTCTTCTTGCTCATATTATTTTTTTCTTTATTCTTCTTGTTCTTCTTCATCATATTCTTGTTATTAATTTTATTTAATATTGTTTTATTGCTATATTATATTCGAATCTTAATCAATTATCTAGTTGTTATTTTATTTTTCAAAATATTAATTTTGCTATTAATTATTTTCAAATAATTCTTCTTCTATAACATCTTCATCATCTATTTATTCAAAATTATAAATATTATTATTATTTTATTTTTATTATTTTATATTTTGTTCTTCTTTTTCTTTTTCTTCTATTTCTTTTTCTTTTTTTTCTTTTTCCCTTTGTTTCTTCTTCTTCTTCTTCTTTTTCCCTTTTTTCTTTTTCTTCTTTTTCCCTTTTTTCTTTTACTTCTTTTTCCCTTTTTTCTTTTACTTCTTTTTCCCTTTTTTCTTCTTTTTCCTTTTTTTCTTTTTCTTATTTTTCCCTTTTTTCTTTTTCCCTTTATTTTTCTTCTTCTTTTTTTTCCCTTTATTCTTCTTCTTCTTTTTCCCTTTATTTTTCTTCTTCTTCTTTTTCCCTTCTTTCTTTTTCTTCTTTTTCCCTTTATTCTTCTTCTTCTTTATGCCTTTACTCTTCTTCTTCTTCTTTTTCCCTTTTTTCTTTTTCCCTTTTTTCTTCTTCTTCTTTTTCCTTTTTTTATTTTTCTTCTTTTTCTTTTTCCCTTTCTTCTTCTTTTTCCCTTCTTTCTTTTTCTTCTATTTCTCTTCTTTCTTTTTCTTCTTTTTCCCTTTATTTTTCTTCTTCTTCTTTTTCCCTTTTTTCTTCTTCTTCTTTTTCCTTTTTTTCTTTTTCCTCTTGCTTTTTTCTTTTTTTTTCTTCTTTTTTTTTTCTTTTTTCTTCTTCTTATTATTCTTTTAATCTTTTTTCTTCTTCTTTTTTTCTCTTTTTTTCTTCTTTTTTTTTTCTTTTTTCTTCTTCTTCCTCTTTATCTTATTACTTAGCATTTTCTTATAATGATTTTAACTTTTTTTCTTCCTATTCTAATTTTTCTTATTCTAAGATGATTTTTTCCTAAATTAAGCGATTTTTAGCTTCCTCGGCTTTAATTTATTCTTCTTTTTATCTCAAAATTTCTACTTATTATTAAATTCTTGCCTCTTCTTCTTTAATTTTGGACTTTTCCAAGACTTAATTTTTTTCTTCTTCTTACTATTTTTTAATAAAATCTTCCTTAATTTACTACTCTAGTTATTTTTGTAAAATAGACTATTCGTTTAAATACTATTATTTAATTTTTTCCTCGATATTTTTTTTTATTTTTTCCATTTTCCTTCTTTTATAATTCTAATTCTTCATTTTTTTTATTTTCGAATTCTTCGTAGACTTATTTTCTGATTTCTTAAATTCTTTCTTATTCTTCTTTTTCTTATTGTTATTTCTAAATATTATTTTGGGCTTAAACTTTCAAATTTAATTATTAAACTTGCCTTATTTTTTCTTATTCTTATTGTTTAATTTTTTCCTATTCTAATTCCATATTTTTTATTATTTCTTAGTATTTTTTGTTAAATTCTTCTGTTTCTTCCTTTTATTTTTATAATTATTCCTCTAATTTTTTTTTCTTTTATTTTTCTTCTTCTTCTAGTCTTTTTAACTTCTCTTGCTCATGTATAGCTTATTATTCAATAATTTTTTATTATTCTTTTAGTTTTTTTATTTTCTCTTCATTTAATTGTTAAATTCTTTATTATTTTTCTAATTCTCGTTGTCTTTCTTATTATACATCTAGTAATTCTTTTTTTTTTTTTTTCTGAATTTCTAACTCATTTTATTATTCTAGTAATTTATTTTTATTTATTGATAATTCCTATTCTTGAATTTTTAATTATTCTTATATTTTTTCTTTCTCATTAATTTATTCTTTCGCTTATTTTTTCATTTCCTAAATTTTCTATTATAAAATTTATAATTAATCCATTTACATTTAACATTCTTCTTCTTTTTCGAATTGTTATTTTTCTTACTTTTCCATTTCTTATTATTTTACTTATCTTGAGATAATTCTCCTTGCTTTATTATTACTATTAAATCCTGTAGTCTATGCCGATTAAGGTCTCATCGTCGGAAATGTTTTTTTATTTAATTATTCAGGTAATCTTTATTAATAGGCTTTTACAGTTTTCAATGAATTAAAATCTCCTTTATTATTAACCGTAAATATTTATTTTGCACTTTAAGGCCTTTAAATAGAGCTTTTTAAAATAGAACTTTATTAGTATGGAAGTAATGATTTTTAGTTTTTTTTATTTTTGAATTAAATATTCTTTCCGACTTATATGAAATTACGAATATTAACACCATAAGATTATTAATAAGGTTTAACTTTTTAACTGAAATAGTAATTATTTTTTCCTTTATTAGAACAATTATTTTATTGTTTATTCAAAAAACTTTCATATAATTCTTAAAAACGTATCGTTAGATGATGATCTTCGCCTAAATTATCAACTGCAACTTCACAGGCTTTTTAGTAATTAATTATACACTGGTTGTATTTTTTAAAAAACTCTTATTCAACTCCTACATTGTAAAATGCCATAGAAAGAGCTTGACAGATTTCATAAAAAGCCTCTTCGTTTCGAATTTCTTCGGATATTATTTTATGGTAATCTTAGTGTAATTAAAAAACAGCTTTTTTAGCATTTTCTAAAGAATTCTCGTGTTCTCCCATTTGGGATAATACAGCTGATATATTTAAGTAGGTTATGCCAAGAAATTCTTTAGAGGAATTACTTTCTTCTATATATTATAAAGACATTCTTAAATAGGATAGAGCAGCGTTTAATTAATTCAATCGGCGGTAATAACAACCGAAATTATTTAATGAAAGAGATCTAACAGAGGATATTATGTCATATTTTTTAGGCTCAGTTAATATTTTACATTTATATAAAATTAATAAACTATTCTCGTAGTTGTTTTCATTTAAATATTTTATGGCTTAATTATTTAATTGCCTGATTATTTTTTCGTATATTTTTTTGAAATTATTGGTTTTTTTATCATGTAAATCTTGTAAGGCTTTTTTTATATTAAAAAATAATTAAATCTTTATTTTTTAATTTTTTACTTTCTTCACATAGTTCTAAACATTCGTTTATTTTGTTTTAGTCTAAAAGTTATTATATTTAATTAAATAAATCTTCGTAAATAATTTCTAAAGATAAGCTTTAGTTTTTTTATGTACTTTATTGTTATTTATTGTAACTGTTATTAATAGATTTAGTAAATTATTCTTCATCAATAAAATACGAATCTTATATACTCATTAATATTTATTTTTATTTATTCTTAATGTTTATTTTATATTTTTATATATATATATTTGCTTATTTTTAGATTATAATAATAAGTTATTTATTTTTCTTTTATATATTAATATATAATATTGATATATATAAAAATAATATAATAATAATAATATAATAATATAATAATAAATAATATAATAATAATAATAATAATAATAATAATAATAATAATAATTAAAATAATAATTTATAATTTATAATTATATTTAAATTTAAATTTTTTATTTGAAAAAAATAATTTTTCTTCAAAAATTTTCTTTAAATAAATTTTGATCATTTAAAATTTCCACTTAATCGTTTTTATTACAAATATTGGCACAAATATATATTTATTCATTTTCCGGAATATCTAAACCAATACTAACTATCTAATTTTCTATATTTTTCTTAAATCTAATTTATTTATTAACTGGATCATAGATTCCTAAAACAACATCATCTTATTTAAAAACAAAGCTTTTAAATATTTTATTATCTTCTTTAGAAGAATGAGACCAGCATTATCCATTCGAAGAAATCATATAGCAACCATTACCTAAATTAATATTATCAAATTTAAAGTTATTTTTTTATAAAATATTTCTTAAGCAGATTCCTATACCAATCCATGCATTTAAGCTTTTAAAAGTAAAAGCGAATTTAGTTTATTGATTTAAACTTAATTTAGGTTCTAATAAAGCGAATCTACAATCATTATCTTAATTTATACTTTAAGTAGCTATCTAATATTAATTTAATATATATAGATATTTATATAAATTACTAATTTATTATCAGAAAGTATTATAGACTTTGTTTTTAATTAATCTGAAAAAATAAAGTTTTATTAAATGGATAAATTTTAATTATTATCAGAAAATATTGATTTTTAGAAAAGACTTTATAAAAATATAATTTAATCAGAGAATTAAGTTTTAATTTTTTAAATTATTTAAATACTTTCAGTCTATCTCTAATTAAAATTATGAATAAATTTTTCTGGTTTTATATCTATTTCAAGATTCTTGTTATCTTAAAAATTAATCCATTAAATTATATTTTTACACTCTTTTTCGAATATATTAACTTCTGTATATTCTCCATTTTTTATACATTCGATTACTTTTAAAAAATTCTAACTTAGATAAAAGTTTTGGGTTATTTTTTCATTTATTGATTGGATTGTTTTGCTTATTTCTTCTTCCAGTTTCTTTATTTCTTGAGCCATATATTATACGGTATCCTTTAAATTATATAAAATTTATTAGTATGATTTATCAATTTACTATAATTAATAATCAAGGTTATTATTAGATTTTTTAGAATTAATAAAGGATAATTTTTATGTTAATTCCATAAGAAATAATTTCAATGGAATAGTTTTATGAGTTTAATGTAATTCGGAGCGACAAATTGAACATATTATTCCTTTATTATTACAGGATTAATCGTAACATATAAAATTTAATAATTCCCCTTAGTGTAATGAACCTTTTTAACATTCTAAATATCTAAATTGATTAAACATTAAAAATTTATTTTTTCTGATCTAATTTTATTTAATTGATTTTTATTTAAATAAAAAAAAACACATTAATAGTAATTTATATATTAAATCTATATTATATATAATTAAAAAAATATATAATTAAATAAATATGTAAATATGTATATATATATATATATATATATATATATATATTAATTCATTAAAATACAAAAATCAATCATATTCATGAATTATCATATCTACTACATCTTTACATATTTCTTCTCCATATAATTGTAGTATATTTTTGTTTTAAAAAATACTTAAAATATAACTTTTTATTTCAAATATAGGACAAAAAATAAATTTTATTTTAATTTCTTTTTAATCAAAATCAAATTCATTCTAACTTTCGTAACAAATCACATATTTTCCATCTAATCCTGCTATTTTTTCCAGCTGATTATTTTTTTCAAATTGTAAATTTTTATTTTCTTCATTTTATTAATTAAAATACTATGAAAAACTTAATCCTGTATAATTATTAAAGACATCAAAATTATATCCATGTAAACTAAATTTTTACAAAATAACCATTTCTTAATTTGCATAAAGTACATTTTATACAATAAACTAATTTTCCTTAAAGACCTTTTCTAATTTAATTTTATCTTATTAAATTTCATGTCCATTTTCATACTCAAATATCTTGAAAATAGAACCATTTTCACCTCCTTTAGTATTTATTATTACACCAATTTATTTAAAATATAAAGGAAAAACTTCCAAAATAATTCCTCCTATTAGATTTTCTTAAAAAATGCTCTTAATTTGCTAAAAGGAGTTTTTTGATATATTCCATATCATAAATATAGGATATATTGAGTTTATACATTGGGAAAAGACACAAATTTAGTCTATTTAATTTATTGGTTTTATTGAGAAAATTTTTTAGTTTGAAAAAAAAGAAGTTTATACATTATTTTCTTTTATAAAAAAAGCAGAAAGAATATTTTCACTTTTATTTTCAGAAAATTTACTCGTTTCTTTATATGAACTTTTTATTTCCAAAACTACAATTATTTTAGATTTTTTCAATACTATAAATTATATTCCGTCTCGTAGTATGTCTTCGAGGTTATTTTAGCTTTATTCGTTTGATGGAAGGCCTTATTAAGTAGGAATACGGATGTTTTTGTGGATATGCAGATGTTTTTTTTATAATAGGTCGTATATTTAGAAAGTCATATGGTTAATGTAGATTATTTATTAATGCTGTTCATCATATATTTATATTAAGTGGGGGTATATAGGAAGATCGAGGGTTTATTTGGATATAATTTACCTTTTTGAGATGTCATAGGTAAATATATTTCCGTTTTCAAATATTATTAGTAATATATAATCTGGAAAGGCGATTATTTTCGCGATTTTTGAAGGGGTTTCTAAAGGGAAGGTTTATTGGAAGAAAACAGATTAGATTTAATATGATTTTTACTTTTTTCGGGTTTATTGAATGTTTTTGGGAGATTGGAATTAATTTGATGTATTTTCGTGATTTTATTCAATATTGAATAATATATTGGAATTGTTATTTGAAATTTTCGAAAATGTATTTATTTCTTATTTATTTTCCATTTTTTTTTTAATATTTATATATATATTATGTTTTTTTTTTTTTTTTTAAAAAAAAAAAAAAATGATTTATTTCTTAAATTTTTCAATAAGAATTTTTTTGGTTTTAATATGAATTTATTATAATATGATATAATCTATATTCCACTTTATTTAAAAAAAATATAAATTTATTAAGGTTAATTCCTAAAAAAAAGGCCATTTATTTAATAATATACATACTTTCAATAAAATTATGAGAATTTAATTAATAATCAACAAAAGGTGGAAGTATTTTTTTATTTTCTTTTATTATTTCGTCGAAGAAATAATTTATTTCATTTTAAAAAAAGTCCGAAAATTCGTTAATTTCTATTTTTTTGTTTTCTTTTTATAAAAAATTCATTATTTTTTCATCTTTTTATTTATTTTTTTATTGTTTTTCTAAAAAATCATCTTTTTTTGTATCTTTTTTTTAAAAAAAATCATCTTTTTTTTAAAATAAATCTTTTATTTCAAAAATGTTTTCTTTTTATTTCTTTTTTTTCTAAAATTTAAAAAAATCCTCAAAATCTTCTAAAAAAATATTCTAATTAAAGTTTATAAAACACACTTTTTTTTTTTTTAAACTTTAGATTTTATTAAAAATCCCTAAAACAACCTACTAGAAATCAGGCATATCTTAAAAAAAAGCACAAAGACTATTTTATTTTGAATTATTTTAAAAATATCTCCATATACTATCTATAATATGTAATTTGTCATCATTATTATCTAATAAACCTTTCATTTTTTCCAAAAAAGACTAATTAATGAATACTGAGTACATTTAGTCATTAATTCCATATACAAGTTTTAAAAAAATAACAAGACATGAAATAGAAAATGCATCTAAATACCCTTTTTTTTTTTCTAAAAAATCTTTTTTTTTATTTTAATTTTTTTCCATAAAAATCTTGCAAATTTAAAAAATAAAAAATCCCCATTTTTTCGGCAAATCAAATTTTATTGTAATTTTCTCACTAAAATTTTACATTATTAAAACCGTTTTTTCTTCATTAATTTACAAATCAATTAATTTTTATAACTAAAGACTCATTTCCCTAATATATTTAGCACTAGGGATATTATTAGGGACTAAAAGGTATTTTTTTTCTCTCAAAAAGGGTTTTTTTAAGTATTTTTTTATGCCTTTTAAGAATGGAATGGCCCCATTTAATATCCAAGTATGAATTTCTTAAGGAGTATATGATTCCCCTAATTAATACTAGGCAGTGTAGATAATAATTGGTATAAGAGAGTAAGTTAAGGGGATGATTTGGGGATTTTATGTGAGTTCTTTTTTAATTAGGAGTTTTATTATTTAGTTGATTTTTTCGTTATTTGAAGATTCGAGAAATTGAGTTAATATGGATTATATGTTTTGTGTTTTTGGTATTTTTTTTTTAAGGAGAAATTCGGAAAAATGCAAAAGGAAATATTTTTTTTGAAGTTTATTTGTAAAAAAATTATTTAAATAAAAATATTTTAAACTTGAAAAATTTAATTTTAAAAAGGAAATTTTTTAAAATATTAAAAATTAAAAATAGTCTTCCTTTTTTTCGAATTTTTAATTTAGTCTTTCTTTTTGGAAGTTTTCGCTATTTTCTTTGGCTTTTTTCTCCTTTATTTTTTATATATTTAGTTAATATTTTGATTAATCGAATATTTTTTGGTTTTTAGGGAATGTATATATAGATATTAATGGAATTTTATTCTCTTTGAAATAATTAAGATAACGAAACCATATTTTTTGGCATTTTTATTCAAATAATTTCTCGTTTTACATATATATTTTTACATTTTGGATATTATCTTTTAAAAAATCTTAAAATGCGTGTAAATATTCGCCCCAATTATTAAGTTTTTGACTTTTTTTTTGTTATTATTGGATACTTATTTTTGTTATTTATTTAATTCTTTTTAGTTTTACCATTTTTTTTTTTTTATATTTTCTTTTTTTTTTTGTTTTTTTTTAAATTTATATTTAAGCGGAAAATATTTTTTATTTTTTTAAATAAAATATTACATATTCATTTTGCTTTGTATTTTTTTTATTTTATTAATTCTACTTTTAAAAAGATATAATTTGCATTTTTTATTTTCTAAAAAACACTCTCTAAGATAATAAAAAAAATACGAACATATTTTAATTAAATCATAAATATTTTTAATATATATAAAAAAAAAAAATACTCTATATATTATTTAAGAAAATTAACAATTTATATAAATAAAAAATATATCTTAAAATTTTAATTTATATATTATTTTTATTTGGGAAAAAAAAAAAGGAAAATTGTGAAAAAAAAAAAAAAAAATTTTTTTTTTAAAAAAATTAAATATATATAAAAAAAATAAATAATAATAAAAATAAAAACCACATAATTCAAAAATTATGATAATGTTTAATTTCATCAATAAACAATTCCCTTAACCTAGGTACTTCCATATCCCCTTCTTTTTCAAAAGGCAAAACCACTGGTCCGTTTGCAAAAACTTCTTTCGTTGGATCCCTTACGCTCTTAAAAAGTGGATGATTTAACGATTCATCAACAGTAATTCTCTTCCTGGGGTTAAAAACGAGTGTTCTATTCAAGAAATCGATACACTCAGGTGTTGCAGCAGGAAAAATATCTTTAAAATCGACTCTTTTTTTCGGATTGAAGCTTTTGATATATTCCACAGCTTTCTAATCAGTAACAAAATCGATATCTTCATCACTAGTCGGTGTTCCCAAAACTGAGAAGATGACATAAAGTTAATCACTTTAACTGTGAGGGAACCCTGATTTAGTAACAGTATTATTTCTATCAGGAGACAAAGGAAAACATGATCCACCGGGAAACAAAGGACTTCTATCTAAAAAGGTAGGAGCATTTTCCTTTATCATATTCATTAATTCTGCAAAAATACAACCAATACTCCACATATCAATAGCAGCAGTATAGTCTTTTTCTAATAAAATTAATTCAGGGGCTCTATACCATCTAGTTACAACATGACCTGTTAGTTCTCGTTTACTACCTCCTGCTTTAGAGTTTAATTTGCCTTCACGTTGCATTTTACCTAGTCCTTTTTTCTCGGGACTAATTTATTATTATTAGACTTTTTCAGGACTTTCTTCTTTTTCATTATCATATATATGTGCACCTGTTATACCTATTAATTTATATAAAAAATATATTACAATATAAATATAAATATTATATATAAATATATATATATATATATATATATATATATATATTTTATTTTTTTATATAGACCTTCTACTGAACGAGCAAGACCAAAATCGCATATTTTTACAGAACAATCTTCATTTATGAGTACATTAGCTGGTTTTAAATCTCTATGAAGTACTTCGGATGAATGTAAATATTTAATACCTGTTAGAATATTATAGGTTAATGTTTTTATTTATATCATTTATAAATGAATGGGACTTTTAAATAATTTCTTTAGATCAGATTAACAGTATTCAGTTACTACATAAATTGTATCAAATTTTTTTAGGTCTGAAGGTTTGATTATTTCAATTATTTTGATTAGATTAGGGTGATTTAACATCCTTAAGAGGTGGATTTCTCGCAAAATTCTTTTACAATCTACTGTATCTTCAAATATTCCGTCAAGACGCTTGATAGCTACTTTATTTTTAGTTGATTTTTCCAATGCTTCGACTACTTATCCGTAAGAACCACTTCCTACAACTTTTATTATTTCGTATTTATCACCAACTTCCCAATCAGAAAAATTTTTTTGTTTTGTTTACATTTTGTTTTTTTTAATTTATTTTAGTTTTTTATTATTTTTAATTTAATTTAATTTTTTCCTTTTGATTTATTTATTTATTATTTTTTCCCTTATTAATTGATTTATTGTGTGTATTATTTTATTTGATTTTATTTTTGTTTATTTAAAGTTTTTTTTGGTGATTATTTTTATTATTAATTTTTTTTTTTTTCATCAGTTTTATTTTACTAATTATAATTTTTAATGAGTGATTGATTAAAAAATAATATTTAATAATTTATATTAATATTTATTTAATAAAAAATTAATAAAAAAATTAAAATAATAAATAAAACATTAAATTTTATAAATTAAAATGATTAAATTATTTATTATTAAATAAACTATGGATTTGATTAAAGAATTGAAAATAGATAAATAAAATAATAAATAATCATTAAGAATTTTTAATAGATATAAAATAGTTTAAATAGTAATAAAGTAAAGAATTAAAATTATATTAAAAAAAAGTTATAATAATTAATTTTTAAATTTTTTCTTAAATAAATATATAAAAAAAAAAAATTATAAATAAAAAAATATTTATATAAATATGTTAAATGTATAAAGTTATTATATCTTAATAGATTATATATAAAAATAAAAAAGCATAATAGTAAATATAGAGACATTATTATAAAAAAGACAATAAAATATTTTAAAAAAGTATTTTTTTTTGAATATTATATATATATATATATATATATATCTAAATATCAAAAATAAAAAAAATATAAATTTAACATTTGATAAAAAATCAAAATAAATTAAAAAAAGAAAAAGTATAAAAAAATTAATAAACAAAATAGTAAATAATATATATATTTATATATATATAAATATATTTATATATATATATATATATATATATTTATATATATTTATATTATCTTTATTATAATTAAATTATTTCTTATAAATTAATATTTACTATTTTACATTTTTATATATGTTTTTTTTTATTAAATATTTAAATGAAGATGAATAATATTTAGTATTTTTATTTATCCTATTTTTTTATTAATTTTTTTTGTATTTAATAATTCTTATAATTATATATACTTATACATTTGGTATTTTTAATTTATACTTTTTAATAATTTATAATTTAAATCTTTAATAGAAATTAGATTTATTTTTTATAGATTAATCTAAGTTAATTTAAATACTAATAATTAATTTTAAATACAAATTTTACTATCATTTATAAATTATACTGTATTTAACATAAAGATATTATTAAAAATATTATAATATATATATATTTATATATTTAATAAATCAAAAAAACTAAAATAATTAAAAATCACTATATTTGTGTTTATTTATGTACTAACTCTAAATTTATTTAAGCATTTTTTTATTCTATTAAGTATGTTCTATATTCGTAATCTAATATGAATATTTTTTATTATTATTTTTAGAAAATGATTTATTCATTTTCAAACTTTATTAATTTACTTTAAATTATTTCATCTTATTCTTTTTATTAATTTAATCTATTTTCAAAAGGAATTTCATTTTCTATTTATTAATATTCTTATTTATCTTTTAAATTTATATCTTTTTCAAAATCTAAATCATTGTCATTTTATTCTTAAATATTATATTCTTATTCTATTTCACAAGCAATTTATTCTGTATCAAATTCTTACATATCTTATTAATTTTATTTTTCAGGCTTTTTTTATAATTATTCTTTTTATTTTCCTTTTTAGAAACTTTATACTATTCTTTCAGTTAAAATCAACATCTTATTGTCCATATATTATTCAGAAATATCAAATGCTTTTGGATCTTCAAAAAGATCTTATTAAAGCTCATCTAAAAATTCTTACTTTATATATTTTTGTGCTTTTTTATTTTAAATATATGATTTAAACAAAAAAAATTTAAAATACGAAATATATCTACTTATGGTTTCAACATTTAGCTCAGAATTGATATATAATTAGGTCTTATTTTAGGTGTTTTATCTAATAATTACTTAGTTATATTTATCTATTTATATATCAATTAAAATAAAAAAATTATAATTAATTATTTACTATTTCGTCTAATTTTTAAGAAATTTATAAGTTTGTAATACTATCTAATTGATTAGAGTTATTTGTATTTTCTTAATCTTTTTTATTTTTTTAAAAAAAAATAAATAAAGATTTAATAATTTTAATTTTTATTTATATAAATTTTAAGAAAGAAAAAATTATTTAAAAAAAGAATAAATTTTATTAAAAAAGATGAAAAATACTTTAAATTTGATCTTAATATTAGAATTTTTTGTTTTTAGTAGAATTTTATTCAAGGATATTATTAAATTCAATATAATGTTTTCTTTTATTATTCATAATTTAATATTAATTAAGTGAATAATTTTATTTAGTATTAACATAATTATTATAATTATTATTATATTAATTTCCACCGCCTTATTATACATCATTATTATTTGATATATTTTAAGAACTTGAAATTTTTTATTAATTATTATTATATTTTGAATTAAAATTAGTATTTCCATTACTATTATTGTAGAACATATC